AAACTGGCAGAGTAAGGACAGAGAGAAGATATAGTTCCTGAGTCAATATACTTGCTTACTCAAGTGTAAACAGCAAGCTAGATAATGGAAAAGCAGGTAGGTCCTTCATGATATAACTGGTAAGGTGTGATCAACTGGTGTCACCTGCTAGAATTTTATATAGATATTTAAGGATCAATTATTCATAAGCTATCATGTATTTAATTACAGAGTGTCTTAAAATTTGTGACTTACCAGAATACTGGATTCCTGCTTGTCCTAAATATACTCTAGTCTAATAATCTTTGTAATTCTTCAGGATATCATGTAAATTATATTTTTAAAAATTATTATATTATACAGAATGAATCAGTTTATCACAACCAGAAAATTCTTGTATAAATCCAGCTCTTCAACCATCTCAAAACCTAAAGAGCTTATAGATATCACTGTTCATAAAAGCAAGAAAAATTCAAACTAAATTCTACCCAGATTATCTTTACATTCTTTTTTAAGAGCTGTACCTTTAATGCTTGAAAATTTATAGGATTACTAGTATACATGTTTTTAATGTCAGAGTTTACATGATGAATTATATTTTAGGTATAACTTAATTTATAGAGGATTTACAAAGAAATCCAGGATCTGAACATGTCCTCATTATATAAGGAAGCATAAGCATTTTAGCTTTTTGTTCAGAGGTCAAAAAGATTTAGTGGCATGGAAAAATACATTAACCCACAAAGAAAACCAGGATGTGGATAGAAAATGCTTAGCCTAGGAATGCATTGAGGCTCATTTAGTTAGGAACAACTTGACAGAACAATAACTGAAAACAAGAAATATTTAATGACTTCATCAGAAACATGCCACATGCTAAGACCAGGGTCATGTGGTAGATAGGCCGGCACCAGCATGGAAAGGATACTACTTTAGCTTCTGAGATATTTTTCAATATCTAAATAAATTTCAAATTTATTTAGAACACCTAGGAGCCCTTGAATACGAAGTCAACATTCTTTGCACCTATTTTACCCAAATATAAAAATCACACAGTAGCTCCTCATAGATCTCTGGAGATAAATATATAAGCAGAGAATTTCAGCCTAAAATTACAACAACAATAATAGAAACGGGGCTTTGAAATTAAAACTGTAATCTAGTAGAACTCCTGGAAAGCATATTACATTTATTGTGATGATTTCTATCCCTGCAAAGGTAATGTTGTTGCCCTAACCTCCACCCAGTAATTGAGAATGTGACCTTATTTGCACAGGAGCATCTTTCCAGAAGCAATCGAGCTAAAATGAGGTCCTTAGGGTAGACTCTAATTCAGTAAGACTAATAAGGACTTTGTAAAATACAAAATTTGGTCAGATGGAATATCAAGTGTAGATGAAAGCTGGTGATTGAACTAAAAAATCAAGAATTTCAAAAATTGCCATTAGAACACCAGAAAATGACTGAAGGGACACTCCCTCACAGTTCTAAATCCTGCCTTCTCCTCTCCATAGCTAGGAGACAATAATGTTCTATTGGTTCTGTTTTTTTTTTTTTCTGACTAATCATTTTTGTTACAATGCATTCTTATTAGTGCATTCTCTTAACCTATTTTATCTCCCTCCCATACCTATGAACTACCCACCCCATCCCTGTGAGCCCCCTTTCAGCTGCACGACTTTGGTTTTCTTTTATGGTGCATTTAGTTTATCCAGATGCAAGACAATTGCACTGGATCTTTCCACTGAAGCCTGGTAGTGTCATGATTTCCCTTTTCCCAGAATCTATTAATTTTAAATAGTTCAGCACTGTAGTTTATGTCCTCCAGAGTCCATCTTCTCATCATGTGTGATTTCTCATAAGCCCATTCTTAAGAAGTTCTAGTATACACATCCACAGTTGCTGACCATTATCTTAATGGCATGTCTTGCCAAGATACTAATTCACAAGTCTTTTCCTTACCTTTGAGATATCCTATTCTTTATGGCCTTGTTTGTGATGTTCCCTAAGCCTTTGAGGGGATCTTGCTTATGGGTGAACAACTCATCTGTCACTAATCCTCAGCAAGTTGTACAGCCATTGGTATCTGCATTCACCACCGTAAAATAGGAAAAGGGGCTGCTCTGACTAAGAATTCAGGAAACATTTATCCACAGGCATAAACATATATTTAGAATGGAGCTTGAACAACAATATTCAGAATATTCAGAAATATTCAGAAATATTCAGAAAAGTAACCATTAAACCAAACGTGGAGCAACCAATGAAAAATGGAAGCTGGGGTAAGAAGGCAGACACATTAGAAAAAAGCATGTATCAGGATCACGAATGATGGAAAAACAGAGTTTAACTCTGCATCTGATTGGAGTATCAAGAGACTTGGACAAAGGGCAAAGAAACAGCACTGCTACCAGGTGCTGAGGAACTTGGAGTAGATGAGGAAAAAAAGGAATCCATATAATATATTGGAGGAAACCTTGATCCATTGGCGTTTTAAAAGGGAATGTATCTAATTCAGTTAAGCTTTTAAAATGTATTGTTCTTCTTATAGAAAACACAATATTAAAACTGATAGATCAGAATGCAGTGTTTCATGCAAGTCCAGACATGAGCTGATGGTGAGCTATAAAGAAGGAGGAGGCAATGATGGCTATAGAAATTAGGAAAAAAGACAGAGAACTAGGAAGACCAGCAGATAAAGTCTAGTGATTGCATTAGTAGTCATGTTTTATTCAGCATAAGTATCTTCTCTTGTCCCGAAACATTGGTTTCTAATACATTTAAAAATGGTTTTGACATTTGATATTTAATTTTAGTTACTACTAAAATAGTTAGAGCATATACATGTGTATTCAGGAGTTATGCTTATTTTATTGTGAATTGTGAATTATGAATGACTTCAAAGTATTTGGTAGTAAAGGAGAGTAAAAGGGACAGAGGCAGACAAGCAAAGTGAAAGCAAGCTCCCCAGAGATGGTAGTTTTTATTTCAGAAAGGCAAAGTATTGGGAAGGGAAATGCAGAGAGACACAGGTAGGTGTCTGAATAGGACCAATAGCAGAAAATTAAGATTCAGGGTCTTATAAAAGACCCCGAGGTGAGGTGCTTTTAGTTCCTGGAACCAAAATATCTAGAAATATCTAGAGGTACTTAATCGTTCAAAGTAACCAACATCTGATCATCTGCTGATGCTGAGAAAGTCAGACCAGTCATAACATAAAAGAAAAAAATCAAAAAACAACCCACCACAGACAGCAAGTCACAGAAACAAGTTATCTAATTCTAACCCCACCTTACAGCTTTTTCATTCCAAAGAGAAAATGTTGCTGTTTTTATTTTCTCTAAAACTCTTTTCTAGTGGTTTTCATCTTTCCTGGGTTTCCAGTTCTTTGTCTGCACCAGGAAATGAGTTAGATGACCACCTTCCACCCCATTGCAATTATTGGAATTTCTTCCAGGATTTGGGAAGACCTCTACTAAGGACTAAGAAGTATCCTTGACCTGTCTTGCACTCTGAGACTCTTTCTGAGTAAATAGCATGGTAGAGACTCCCGGTTCCTTCCCGTCTCTGCAGTGAGTAAGAATGTGTCCTGGAGACTGAGGGAGTAGCAGACTGATCTTTAATTTCTGACAGATATCTTCTGAAAGAACTAGAGCTGAGGTTTATGTGTTACTCTTAATGCAAGAGAGGAAACATGATACTCTAAGGAACTGCTCTTCTCACTGGAAAGGATGAATTAGAGAACACAGACTCCCCTCTCGGGTTGGGTACATGGGGAAAGCACTGTTCTGCTTGATAGCTTCTTCCCCCCACACCTACATCTTGGACCCTGAAAAGCTTAAATACCCACACCAGCAGGTAGTCCACAGGGAGGGGGAAATACTTGCTCAACTTTCTCTACTCTCTCTTGAGCATTCTGATGTGTAGATCAATCACTAAAAAACCTTAAGTTTTCCAATGTACTTTAACTTTTACCAAGTTTGCTTTGATTTTGAAATGGTCTAGGAGGGCAGTTGTGTTTTTATACTGGAAAATTTCATTGGAGGCTGACACCTATGAGAGACATTAGCTGTTTGTTCAGAACCCACCAGGATACTGTTATGGGGACAGGCCCATACACACTTATGCCCCTTCTTCTACCTAAGTCACCTCATTTCACAGTGGTGTATTCAAACTTCTCTGCTGGTATTAACGAACACACTGAGTTCTAGCAGTCCCTAATCTGGTAATTGAGTGGAAAAGAAAATGATAACTGTTTTCCCTGTGGGGTTTTGGGTGGGGCTATATGACAGAAGGCTTGGCCAAATAGAAATGAGACCCTGTGTTCCTCTCTCCACCACCACTCAATTTGTAACAGCCCATGTTCACAACAATCTGTTCCAAGTAAACATTAGAGGCAAAGAGAGATCAGCATTCTTGGGTGAATATCTGTTAAGGACTCTACTGGTTCTTTTTTTTGTGTGTTTTTTGTTGTTGTTATTGTTGTTGTTGTTTTTCCGTTTTCCATTATTTTTTCCCCAACTTTTTAAATTTGAATTACAAACAGGATTGTTTTACATGACAATCCCAGTTTCCTTCTCCCACCCTTCCTCCCCTACCCTCCCCCCACTAAAACCTTATCTGTCACATATCTTTTCTGCACCCCCTGGATGGTGAGGCCTTCCATACAGTGTCATCAGAGTCTTTCATATCCTTTGTGATAGGGCCTAGGCCTACCCCCCACCCTCTTAACTCAGGGAGTATTCCTCTATGTGGATTGGGCTCCCAAAGTCCACACCTATGCTAGGGATAAGTACTGAACTACTACATGCTAGGGATAAATACTGGGCTTCTACAGGAAGTCCCATAGATTTCTGAGGCTTCCTCACAGAAACCCATGTTCCTGGGGTCTTGATCAGTCCCATGCTGGTATTCCAGCTATCAGACTGGGGAGCAAGAGTTCCTGGATGTTCAGGTCAGCTGTTTCTGTGTGTTTCACCAGCCTGGTCTGGACCTCTGTGCTCTTCCCTTGTCCTTCTTTGCATCTGGGTTCCGGTTCAGATCGGTGATTAGTTATGGGTGTCTGCTTCTACTTCCACCAGCTGCTGGATGAAGGCATATAAGTCAGTCATCAATCTCATAATCAGGGGAGAGTATTTAAAGTAGCCTCTCCTCCATTGCTGAGATAGTTAGCTGGTATCATCTTTGTAGATCTCCAGACATTTCCCTAGTGCCTGTTTTCTCTGTAAACCAAAAATGTCTTCCTCTACTATGATATCTCCATTCTTGTTATCATGTATTCTTCCCCTGACTCATACTTTCTGTTCCCTCAGGTCCTCGGCATCCCTCTTCTTCTCCTCTTCTCATTCTCCTAGCTCCTTCCCCCTCTTCCTGTGCTCCCAATTTGCTCAGCAGATATTGAACATGCTTGCTCTTTCTGTCCTGTAGCTGATAAGTCTATAACAGGTTAGGCTTATGAAGTAACAGAGTGAAGTAGGAGAGTCCTTTAAAGTCTCTATCATGGCCATTAATGTGATATTTTAAATTAACACTGTGGGGTTTCTGGTCATCTGGAGCTGAGGAATCAGTGATGATTAACAAGAGACTGGCACCACTGAACTGAAAATTTTGCTTTATAAGAAAAATTGATGCTGGTTAGCTGGGAGGCAAAATCTGCTGCAATTAATAAGAGACCAACATAATTGAGGCAAAATCTTCTAAGAAATATTTCTGCAGGGTCGTTACACAGACACTTGTCCCAGACCAGACCTTGTTGGAATCTCAAACGGGCAGACAAGGGTGGTAATATGTAAGTACCTCCCATATGCCACTGCTTTGGGTAACAGGAAAACTCTAGGAAAGGCCTGGACTTTGACAGAACTACCAAGGAAAACTTCAGGTATGAAGTGGTATTTTCTGGACCATAAGAGACAAACTAAATGTGATATGGATGGTAGAGCCAGATAACTACACTTTCCCAAGCACTTTAGAACACAGAAGTTCATGAGTGAAACCCAGACATGAACTGTTCTACTTATACCTCTGAACATTGGTTTTGATCCAATTTGGTTGTGAAAAGGCCCTGTTTTTTCCCTCCTGAAATTAGAAAGTATGTTATCCTAATTGTTTCTCTGCTATTTCTTCCAATGGCTAACACTTGGAGAATTTCTGAATTGGTAAGTGGAAGGGGCTCAGAATGAGGCAGAATCTAATGTATGGACTTTTTATATAAGAGCTACTTGTATTAGCTACTTTTCTGTTGCTGTGATAAAATATCATGAACACATCAACTTATAGAAGGAAGACTTTATTTTGGGATCGCCATCATGATCAGGAGCATGGCAGCAGACATGGCAATAGAGAAGCAGCTGAAATCTTGAATCCTTATCCACAAGCAGGAAACACATTGGGAATAACATGAGTCTTTTTAAACCTAAGACCTGCTCCTAGTGATGCAACTCCTCCGGTAAGGACACATATCCTAATCCTTCCCAAACACTTCCACCAACTGAAGACCAAGTATTCAAACACATGAGATTGTGGTGCTATCTTCATTCAAACTGTACATTACTCATGATAAATCTTGACTTCTGGGCTCTCCCTAGTAACTTATGTGAGTTACTAATCACTAGAAATGTCTAACATTGTGTTGTATGATCATATGAGGATGGAATACAGCAGCACCCATAGCATGTCCATTACATAACATGTTCTCATTTAAGACAGTAAATGAGGTTTTGGCCCCTCTAAAAGCATCTCTAGTTTTTACAGAAATTAGCTTCTATCACCCAAAACTCTGCTGACCTTCTTACCCTCTTTGTTATGTTTCAAAAGATCCAGTCTGATGCCACTATCACCCCCCACCACATGCCCCCATCACAAATTCAGTCAAGCATTACCTATTCAGGTGCAGTCCATGCCAGCCAGAAGAACAGATAGGCCACCCACCTTCCCACAGAATCCTCTCACCATCTCAGTGCACCACACTATTCCCAATATACCCTCCTCTCCTCATAATCATATCTCAACCCCAACTCAGGCAGAGACCCTGTACTTTACCAAAGATTTCACCAGTTGGCAGAAGTCCAGCCCCTGAACTAAGGCAGAGAGCCCCTGCTGGACCAGAAGTCATGGCTGTGTGCCAGAACTCCAGGCCACACAGATAAGCAAAACAAAGTAAACAGAAACTAAGGAATAAAACACACATCCTACAAAGACAAACTCATAAGTCAGCAACAAGAACTATAGTGACCAAGAATCCAGATGCCTACACAGAATCATAAGACCACAATAAACAAAGGCCAGGTCACTATGTCCCCACTGGAACTGAGCTATCCTATAACAACAAGCCCTGAAAATTCTAACACAGTTGAAGCACAACAGCAATAACAAGAACCTTAAATCCAACTTATGATGATAGATGTCCTTAAAGAGGAAATGAATAAATCCTTTACAGAAAACAGAGGAGGGAAAACGTTGAAGGAAACAAATAAAGTTGTTCAAGACCCAAAAATGGAAATAGAAGCAATAAAGAGAACCCAAAATGAGGGATTTCTAGAAGTGGAAAATCTAGGAAAGTGAACAGAAACTATAGATGTAAGTATCATTAACAGATTATAAGAGATAGAATGGAGAATCTCAGATGTTTAACACACACACACACACACACACACACACACACAAACACACACACAATAAAATAAAATAAATAGACACAGTCAAATAGGATGAATGTTAAATCTGAAGAATTCCTGACTAAACATCCAGGAAATCTGGGAAACTATGAAAAGACCAAACCTAAGAATATCAGGAATAGAAAGAGAAGAATTTCAGTTCAAAGGCCTAGACAATATTTTCAATAAGATTGTAGGAGAAAAGTTTTCCTAACCTAAAGAGGGACATATCTATAAAGATACAAGAAGCTTATAGAACACCAAATAGACTGGGCCAGAAAAGAAAGTTTTCTTGCCACATAATTATCAAACACCAAACATACAGAAGAGAGAAAGAATATTAAAATCTACAAGGAGAAAAGAACAAGTAACATGTAAAGTTAGACCTAGTAGAATTACACTTGAATTCTCAATAGAGACTCTGAAAGCCAGAATGGCTTGGACAGATGTCCCTCAGAATCGAAGAAACCACAGATATCACCCCAGATTACTAACCCAGCGAAACTTTCAATCTCCAAAGATGGGGAAGATACGTAATCCAAAAAAAAAAAATCAATTATAACAATAGCTATCTACAAACTCAGTCCCACAGAAGATATTAGAATGATTAACTACTATTGACAGATGTTAAATATACCCATAAAACAAATGAAGTAAAAAATTTCATATCACACAAACCAAAAGAAAGGAGACACACACACACACACACACACACACACACACACACACACACTTACACCACAGACAACAACCAACACTACCACCAATTGTAACAAGAATGAAATAGTAGGAATTAGCAATCATTGGTCATTACAATCTGCCAATATCATTGCACTCAATTCCTCAATAAAAAGACACAGATTAATAGAATAGATGTAAAAACAGAACTCATTCTTCTGCTGCATGCAAGAAACACCTCAATGTCAAAAATAGACATTATTTGAGAATAAACACTTAGAAAAAGATTTTTTTTCTAAGCAATGGACTCAAGAAGTAAGCTTGTGTTGCCATTATAATATCTAAAAAAAAAAAAACTTCAAACAAACATTAATCAACAGTGAGAGGGCTGGGGGAGCCAGACCAGAAACATGTGAGGTTTCTAATAGCCCCTTCCAAGGACCAGTCCTTAGTTTCACATTACTGGAAGTGATTGGGGATGAGCAAGCAGATTTCAGGACAACCACAACTCACTGGAAAACTATCAGTAGGTGCACCAGAGCCACCTGTTAGCTAAAGATAGCTTTCCCTACCCTGTGACTGGAAAGTACTTATTTATACACTAGAGCCAAATATCAATCCTATTAACTTTTTGTTTAAATCCACCAATTAGCCCCCAGACTAATCTCTCCTCCCTAGAATTACCCTAAACTTAAAAGGAGCCTATGAGCTTCTCTTGGGGTTGCCATGTGCCACTTTGTCAGATGGTTAGGGGAATATGTTGCTAACATTAATAAACATTTGTGCTGACTGGTAGGCTTTCATGGGAATTCTCATGGACCCTAAAAGAAGAGATGGGTAAGGACACTTCATATTCATCAAAGAAAAAAATTCCACCAAAATGTCATTTAATTCTTAATATCTATAACCTGGATACAAGAACACCCACATTTGCAAAAGAAACATTGCTAAAATTATACAACAACACTTACACATTAATATTTAGGAAACATAAATACCCACTCTTATCAATGGAAAAGTTATTCAAAATAAAAGCTTAATAGAAAATTACTTGAGCTAGTAGACATTATGAACAAAATGAACCTAACAGGTGTGTACAGAACATTCCATCCAAACACTAAAGAATATACTCCTTTTTAGCGTATCACAGAACTTTCTCCCAAATTAACCACAAACTTGGTCACAATGCAAATCGCAAAATGCATATACAAAAAGATTTAAGAAAGCCCCTGTATCTTATCATACACTGATGGATTAAAGCTGAATTTCAACAACAGAAAAAAAACCAGAAAGATTAAAAGCTCATGGAGAGAAAACAACTCAGGTCTTAACTAACATATAAGAAAAGACACAGGATAACAGAATGGATATGAAGACAGATGCCATCCTTCTGCTGCATAAAAGAAACACACCTCACCTTCAAAGACAGATGTTACCTCAGAGTAAAGGGTTAGGACAAGATTTTCCAATCAAATGTCTCTAAGAACCAAGCTGGTGTAGCTATCCTACTATCCCACAAACTAGACTTTAAGCTAAAATTAATCAAAAGAGATGAAGAAGGTCATTTTATATTCATCACAGAAAAAATCCATCAAGATGAAGTCTCAATTCTCAACATCTATGCACCAAATACAAAGGAACCCACATTCACAAAAGAAACATAACTAAAACTCAAGTCACATTTTAAACCCCACACACTTACAGTGGGAAATTTCATCACCCCACTCTCACCACTCAACAGGACCACTAGACAGAAAGTTAACAAAGAAAAAAGGAAGTAACAGAAGATATGACACCAATGGTTTTAAAAGACATCTATAGAATGTTCCATCCAAAAGGAAATGAAAATACCTTCCTTTTGGCACCAAAAGGAACCTTTTGTAAACTCAACCACATGCTCCAAAATAAAGCAAACCTCAACATATACCAAAAAATGGAAAAACTTATGGGAACACCATGGCTTAAAATTAGAATTCAGCAACAACACAATTTGCAGAAACCCTGCAAACTCATGGTAATTGAATAATACTCAACTGCATCACTTCTCAGTAAAGGAAGAAATAAAGAAATCAATCTAAAATCAAGAACAAGACAAGGTTGTCTACTCTCTCCAATCTCTTTAATATAATACTTGAAGTTCTTGATAGATATATACAACAATAAAAGAAGATCATGGGTATACAAATTGGAAAGGAAGAAGTAAGACTTTCACTATTTGCAGATGATATGATAATCTACATAAGTTATCAGAAGAATTCTATCAGGGAACTCCTACAGCTGAAAAACACCTTCATCAACATAGAAGTATACAAGATTAACTCAAAAAAGTCAGTAGCCTTTTTTTTAAAAAAAAAAAAAAAAAAAAGAAGGGAAAGAGAGAGAGAGAGAGAGAGAGAGAGAGAGAGAATAAAGGGGCTGAGAAAGAAATCATAGAAACATCAACCTTTACAAAAGCCACAAACTACATAAAATATATTGGGGTAACTGTAACCAAACAGGCAAAAGACCTATATGACAACAACTTTGATTCATTAAAGAAAGAAATTAAAGAAGATAGCAGAAAATGGAAAGATCTCAGACGCTCTTGGATAGGTAGGACCAACGCAGTAAAAATGACAATCTTACCAAAAGCAATCTATAGATTCAATGCAATCCCTACCAAAATCCCAGCCCAATTCTTCACAGACCTTGAAATGACAATACTCGTATTTATATACAAAAACAAAAGACCTGGGATAGCCAAACAACCCTGTACAATAAAGGAACTTCCAGAGGCTTCAACATCCCTGACTTCAAGCTCTATTATAGAACTATAGTAAGGAAAACAGCTCAATATTTGCATAAAAATAGACAGACTAATGGAATATTATCTCACACGCCTATGAACACCTGATCTTTGACAAAGAAGCTAAATCTATACAATGGAAAAAAGAAAGCATCTTCAAGAAATGGTACTGACATAAGTGGATGCAGACATGTAGAAGATTGTAGATAGATCCATATCTATTGCCAAGCACAAAACTTAATTTCAAATGTATCAAATACCTCAACATAAATGCAGCCACACTGAATCTTTTAGAAGAAAATGTGGGAGGTCCCCTTGGATGAAAATTGGCACAGGAACTCAAAAAATAGACATAAACAAACCAAATAATCCAATTAAAATGGGGGTACAAATCTAATCACAGAATTCTCAACAAAGGAATTTCAAATGGCTGAGAAACATTTAAAGAAATGTTGAACATCCTTAGCCATCAAGGAAATGCAAATTAAAACAATTATTAAATTCCATCTTATACCTGTCAGATATAACAGGCTAAGATAAAAACCAGAAGTGACAGCTCATTCTGGAAAGTATATGGCCCAAGGATTATATTTCTCCATTGCTTGTGGGAGTGCAAAATGTACAACCAATATGGAAATCAACATGGTGGTTCCTCAGAAAATTGGGAATGAATCTACCTGAAGACCCAGCTACATCTCTTACAGACTTATAACCAAAAGACACTTCATCCTACCACAAGGACCCATGATCAACTATATTCATAGTGGCTTTAGTCATAATGGCCTGACACTGGAAACAACCAAGATGTCACTAACCAAAAAACAGATAAAGAAAATGTGTAACATTTACACAATGGGTAATTATGCAGCTCTTAAAATATGACATCACAAAATTTGTAGGCAAATGAATGAAACTAGAAAAAAAAATAGTCCTGGGTGACATAACCTAGACCCAGAAAGATACACATGAAATGCACAAACTTATAAGTGGATATTATCAGGAGGGCTCCAAGGATCTCCCTGGGAAGAGGAGATACTTTTCATGAGTGGACTGCCTTGAGTGGGTATGGGGGAAAGAGGGATCAAGTTAGGCAAGGGGGTGCAGGAGAGACAACTGAAATTGGGATCATTTGGGAAGTGATGTGAAATCTAGTGCAATAGGAACTACTTGGAAATTATACAGGTGACCCTTGTGAAATAAGGGAAGATATGGAGTCTGAGCTCACCATCATTAGTAATCAGGCAAGGCTTCCAGGGGACTGACTAGGATATGACTCTAGCCACAAACCTTCAGCCTATAATTTTTCCTGCCTATCAGATATGCTGGGACAATGATGGTGCAGATTTTGGAAGCTGTCAACCAATGACTGGTCTAAATGTGAGCCCATGCCATGACAGGAGCCCATGACTGACACTCCCTGGATGGCCAGGAACCAGAAGCTTGATATCAGAGGACCTAAGATCGAACTAAAAAAATGACTAGCCAACAATAAACAAAAACAAGTCAATGAAATGATTCCCAATGATATTCTGCGTACTCCGGTATTGGAAACTAGACCAATTTCATCCAGGAATTAATAGGAGCAGATGCAGAGACTTATATCTGAACAGGTGGAGCTCAGAGAATGTCACACAAGATGGAGAGGAGGGATTTTATGAGCCAAAAAGGTTGAAGACAACACAAGAATGCAGCCCACACAATCAAATAAACTGGCCTCATAGGAGCTAGCAGAGTCCAAGGGATTATCACAGAGCCTGTATCGGTTTGACCTTAGTCCTCTGTATATAGTTATGGTTGTGTAGCTTGGAGTTCCTGTATGACACTTAACAATGGGAGCAGGGGCAGTATCTCTGACTCTGTTGCCTGTCCTTGGAATACTTTTCCTCCTCCTGAGTTGTCTGTTTAGCCTTGATACGAAGGTTTGTGCCTAGTCTTTTTGTAACTTGTTATGTTGTGATCAGTTGATACCACTAGGGTATCACCTCTTTTCTGAAGTAAAACAAAAGAGGAGTTGATCTGTGGGCAGAGAGGAGGTTGGGGAAGGGACTGGGGGGCATGGATGGAGGGGAAACTGTAGTCAGGGTGTAATATATGAGAGAAGATTACATTTTTATAAAAAGAAAGTGGCTTTTACAATAAATCAACTGTCTTGACAATTGGCAACATCAAACATCTGGGGTTATATGGATAACAGACCTGAGTCTCTGTGGTCAGAACACGAAGAAAATATAACCCTAAAAAGACTAAAGAAGGAATGTGGGAGATGGTAGAGAAATGAGCCATTCATAGAAGAGGAAATCTCACTACTATATCTGGTCTTTCTTCTGGACAGACTAAACTGCACTAATTGTTCCTTAGTGAAGCCTGGGGATGCCTACCTAGTAAACGCAAGAATGCAGACAAGTAAATCACAACCCTCTTCCAAGACTACTACTATATCTGGTCTTTCTTCTGGACAGACTAAACTGCACTAATTGTTACTTAGTGAAGCCTGGGGATGCCTACCTAGTGAACGCAAGAATGCAGACAAGTAAATCACAACCCTCTTCCAAGACCTCACTAGCCTCCCTCCTCCATCTTGTAGAAGATGGGGAAAAAATGTTTCCAGGATTCCTACAAAGTTGCCACTCAGCTTGCTTCTCAAATCTGAGAAGACATAAACCCATGAACAAAGAGTAAACCCTAGTTTCTTCCAGGAGGCATGATTCTAATATCCCTAGGGATGCTCCTCTGCAGGAGATGTTGGAAGAATATGGACCCACATAAATTCACAGGGCTTCTTTTTAGCAGCTCCTAAAGTAAAACTGTGCATTAAGTTTTTCAGGTTGTCTCTCTCAAGTTTGTCTTCACAAACTGATTGTGGGCACAGGCTTCTAAGTTTGTTGCCTCAAATCTAGCTAGAGATGGTCATATACTATACAGTGGTAAAGGCAGTTACGTCTATTGGATTGATATTACTTGGTCATGGGTACTCATTGCCATTCACCCATGATCTTATCAAGTTCAAAGAGCCTAAATATTTTCTGATTTAGTTTACCTTGTTTCATTTTTATGTCAATCTATATTCCCAATATATTAACCAATATATTATATGTCTCATGGAACAAACTATAACCAGTAATAAAGAGGACATGTGCTTTGAATACAACCAGTTTCATTGGACTCACCAGTGTGTTCCTTGCTCACTATAAGCCCAATGGCTTTATGGAGAAACAAATGCCTTTTGTATACACATGAAATTTTCATATAGTGTTTGAGTTCACTGAGAAGCTGGCTCTGAAAATGGAATTTGGCTCTCCCACTTTAGAACCAATCATTTCTGTATCAAAATGCCTTTTAAAATCTTCTTTCCTGAATCATGTCCCATGACCCTGTGACAGGGAAAAAGAAGAGAAAACTAATTTAAGAACAAAGATACTGTGCGCCTTACTTACTTCATTAAATAAAAAGTAGAAAAAAATCTTTCATTAGTTTCAACAGTTTTCTCTGTCACCTACTTACACACATGTGATGATATATTGTTTGTGATTTATTAAAGACACTGGAAAACCAAATAGCAAAGTAGTCATGCTAGTTAACCCTAGAAGCCAGGCACATACCTTTAAACCCAGGACTCAGGATTAAGAGGTAGATGGATCTCTGTTAGTTCAAGGCCACATTGATTACACAAAATTGATTCCATCCTAAAAGAAATAGCTCACACAAAGGTGTTCTCAGCAACTATGAAAACATGGCTTTAATTCTAGCACTACGGATGTGAAGACAGAAGTATATGCCTGAGTAGAGAAAGGAATATAAGGAGCTTTTTGGAATTAAGAGCTTTTTGCTTCTGTGGATTCCCGGAGACAGGATTGCCATTTCAACTGGATAGAGGTAAGATCTACTGGATGCTTTGCTTCTCTGATCTTTAGCTTGAAGCTTGGACCCTGATATAAGTCTCTGGGTCATTTATATTTCATGATACACATGCATTCAAAATCATCTCTAACAATTACACAGATTTGCTTAAAGAACAAAAAGGAATATAAATCAAAGTGGACTGAAGTGTTTGATTTTTGCCCAAGCCTTATCTAAATATTATGAAGGAGTTAAAATGACCAATCTGCTATAGATGATTTTCTAGGTCTTCAGTAACCAAAATTGAAGCCAATACTGATGTTGTAAAGGGGAATAAAAGAGAAGAATACTTTTCTGTCTCCACTCCTCAAGCTTGACTAGGTGCCAGGGGACTTGAGGCATGTTAAATGTTCTGTTACTGTGAGGGATCATCTGTTCCCTTGTTCAGCAAGGCCTGAATGTCCTATCATTGAATTCTAACCTGGGTCCAATGTAAAGAGGAACTTCAGTGCAAATGAACTATTTCCTCTGGGCTTGCAATGAAGTGTACCCAGGAAAGGGTTTTGTATTATTCTCTCAAAGATAACAGAATGCTAAGGTAAAAGGGAGGCTAGAGAACCAGAAAAGTCTTGTTTGACCTAAGTTACCTCTGAATACTAGGAGCCAGACCCTCAACTTTTCTTAAGAGTAAAGAAGACAAAGAAGAGGAAGACAAAGAGGAAAAAGAAGAAGGAAAGAAAGAAAGGAGAGAAGGAGGGAGGGAGGGAGGGAGGCAGGGAGGAGGGAGGGAGGGAGGGAAGGAGAAAAAGATTAATTAAATTTAGCTACTTGCAAACCTGCATGGTCTTACACATTAAGTATAATGAAGACATAAAATAGTTGGTGTGTTGTTTTTCACAGTCTACGGTATAACATGTGCTAGATATTAGGTTTAAATCCATACAAAAATGTTATTTCCTTCCTTCCTTCCTTCTTTCCTTCCTTCCTTCCTTCCTTCTTTCCTTCCTTCCTTCCTTCCTTCTTTCCTTCCTTCCTTCCTTGCTTTCCTTTTCTCTTTTTTTGAAAGCCATGGGCCTCAAAGAAATCCAAATATTATTGGTCTGCTAAAATAATATAGCAATAAAATTATTCCTCAGGACCCACAGAAGAGTGTCTCACTTCACCATCATTAGACAAACTTCCTCTTGAAGTAGATGGGAACAAATACAAAGACTCACCCAGAAATGGTACAGAGTGAGAGACTTTTAGTCAGGCTTAAACAAATGTCTTTGCCAAAACCTCCTGCTTAGACTCAGGGAGCTGTGCATAAGACTTTGTGAGAAGATTATGAGAAGCATATGATATCAATGACACCAAGAAAACTGCATATTCTACCCAAAACAAGACTAATGCATATAGTAAGTCACAGAGACTATGACAACATACATAGGATCCGCCAAGGTTCAATCAGAGAGGCTTTCAGTGCTGAGAGGGAGGATTGGATATGAATTACCATCCCTGTCCAAGAAGCTGTCTTCAACTGTCATCTACTTGTGAAGGAAAATTAGTTTGATTCAATGGAGTCTCACTGAGTATAATAATCACACTTAAGGATATACTCCATGCCTTAAAATGTATGTTCAACCCCCAAATAAGCATAATAGTAATATTTATAGACTTTTAAAACTCTCATTACTTTGTTTGGATATCTTTTTTTTTCTTACCAGTCTTTTGCTTATATATTGTGGATTCTGATTTTGTGTTTTTGTAGGTTTTGTTTCTCTCTCTCCCTGCTTCTCTTATTTTAACTCTCCCTCTCTTTCTTTCCCTCTCTCTCTCCTCACCTCCTTCTCTCATTGTTTTTTGCATTAATACAGGGTTTCAGTATGTAGCCTTGTCTGGCTTATAACTCACTATTTGGAATAGTCTTACCTTGGGTTTGCAGAGACTGGCCTGCTTCTGCTTCTCCCATGCTGTTACTAAAGGTGCCCCCTCTTTATAAGGAACACAGGAAGACAAGGGAAGCAAAATAGCTCCCTGAGTTGGCAGCTTCTTGTTAGCAGACAAACAATGGGAAGGCACAGGTTTGCATAAGTAAACAGGACCAACAGGGTGTCAGGTGTAATTCTTGTTTCCTATAAAATATCAAAGTCAGAGTCTGTTTACCAGATTTCCAGCCTTAGAGCCTTTCCATCCTGAGGGAATAAAATTGGTACTTTCATTTTCCTTGAAGTTCAGTCTTCTGTCTTTCCTAGATCTTCAAGTTCTTATCCTTGCGAGGAACAAATGTGGTGGTTATCTTGATGACTACCAGAACCCCAGTAATGGGAGCAAAACATGTCATGATGCCAAAAGTGAGCATTCAAAATCCTACCATGTGTGACATAGACTAAAGGACAATTTGGATTTATATTTTTGGCACACGTGAATCAAAGTGAAACTGAAACAGAGTTCTGTGGTAAACATGGTGACACTTGCTGAGACTTTTTAAATCCTTAGAATTCATATTCCCATTTTGAGTGTAATTTGAGCTATCACTGATTCTTTAGTCTTTAATGAGATATGACATTTTTAAAGAAGAGTATGTATTTGTAAGGAAGATTTCCCTCACAACCAAAGGCAAATTATAATTTAGAAGATGCAAAATTTTTTGATAAATTTTACTAGAAAACAAAACTACATCAGAATTAAATTTATTTTCTAAGATGGAACCATTTTAACTGTGGCCCACTGAATTAATCTCTGACAATCATTATCATATCACATCTTCTTTTCCGGAGCAGCCAAGGTAAATGGATAGGCTTTCTGCCTTTGAGAGTCTTTGGAACACAAACGGATGATACAAGCAATAAACATAAACAAAGAGAAGTAAACACATGGAACTCATGAACGGGATCCTGAGAGGGAAAGCTGTAAAAGAAGATTAGTTGAAAGAAAACAAATTCAATAAGGAAGGGCTTATGTTTCATAAGCAACCCTATGAGGGAAATTAAATACATATAAGTAGATATGAGACAAGAATTAAAAATGCTCTTTGGGTATCCTTTTCAACATTCCCTGTGTCTGCAATGATATTCACTGTAAAGCACATTCATATTTATTATCAAACTTCTTAAATCCTTCAAGTATATTAAAATTATTTACATATTATACATATTTACAGTCCACCTCCCAAGAGCCAGACAAACTTTCTCCCCAAATTGAACATCAGTTACTTAAAATTAAATAGCTGTGTGCAAAAGTTTATTTCCTTTGACCTCTTTAATTCTTTTGCTCTGTTTTATTTATGTGTGTATGATTTGTCTCAGCCTTTTTTTTCTGCATGTAGGATTACTAATGGTATTTATTCTCAAATTAAAAATAATATACATTTATTCGTTCTTTGAAGTGTTTTTTTATTGTAGCTATACTTTGTCATTGCTTTCCACAGTAGTAATTCTGTCAAAAGCCATGAGTTATCATATTCAGCATCCTGCTTCTGCCTTCTCTTCCCTATCCATATCCTGCATTGCTTCAAGCTGATGCTTCTTGCCTAATCTAGCCTTTGTGAAGGCTTCATTGAGTCTTGAGCTTTCTCTTCTCATGTTGTTCTATGTTTTCTACCATTTCAATTCATTACAGTGTTACTTCCTCAAATCATTTTGCCCAGCTCACTATCAATCTCCATTCTGTCAACGTTTCATTTACACAAGACCCAATCCACACCTGGTACTTCTTTGCATTTTATACATTCTCTTCTTCATAGCACTCTCCTTAAAAATGACTTGACATAAACAGTTGACCTGAACATCAGAGAAATCTTGCTTCCCAGACTGATAGTTGGGATACCAGCATGGGACTGATCCAGACCCCAGGAACTTGGGTTTCAGTGAGGAAACCTCATTAATCTATGGTACCTCCTGTAGTAGTTCAGTACTTATCCCTAACATAGGTGTGGACTTTGGGAGCCCATTCCAAATAGATGAATACTCCCTGAGCCAAGACACATGGAGCTGAGCCTAGGCCCTATCCACAAAGGATATGATAGACTGTGATGATACCCTATGGAAGGCCTCACCATCCAGGGGGAGCAAAAAGGATATGTGATAGGTAGGGATTTAGTTGGGAGGGATGGTAGGGGAGGACGGGAGGGAGAAGGGAACTGGGGTTGTCATGTAAAAACATCTTGCTTCTAGTTCAAATAAAAAAAATCTAAAATAAAATGACTTGACATGAACAGGTAGCATGAAATATTTCCCACCTGTCTTTGTCATGTCCCAACCACTGCTGTAACACATTTGACATTGATCCTGCCTAACCTGCAGAGCCTCCTGTGTTAGGCACACAAGCTGCATTGTGCTGAGTGCATCCTTTTGCTCTATGTGAATAGTCAGCCAGCCTATGCAGGGCTGATATGCATTACCCACAACCAATGCCCATTGTGAGTTTTTCTAGACTGAAACACCAGAAATAATCCAGTTCAAAATGTTCAGCCCAGAAAGTTTTTCCCATACTTTTCTCTCCACTTTTTCAAGTTTATTTACTATCCCTTACTTGTCTGTATGCATGAAAAATATTCTTGCTGCTCTTTCTTTTAATTTGATCAATCATATTTCTTTTGTCTATAAAATTTCATATCATGTGTTTTCTTTGGTCATTTCAAACATTCTGAAACTATACATACTAAAATGCAATCTGATTACTAGTAGATATTTGAGGGAGTCATTAAATTAAAATAAATATATATATTTATCTATGTTAAGCAGTTCAGCCTTTGTTTTGTTCAAAAAATATTTACAGCAAAGTCCTTTGGTTTGTATACCACCTGGCTGTCCCATTCTCCTTCATTTCCATTTTTCTATTATTCTGATTTCAAATGTGGGATGCATTTCTTTGCCAATGTGCATTTAGCCCATCATTATTCCAGAAATGAAATGAGGCACTGGACCTTGTTTCACTGTCAATTTCCCTTTGTTCTCAGACTACCCACTCAAATCAGGAAAGGTAATCCCAAATACAGATAGGGTATTATAGCCTTAAAGTCACTAATTAGTCTTTAGCTGTGTTTTCCCAAAGAGATGGTAATTATTTATTTGCTCAAACATAACAAAATAGCAACTATAGGGTATCCTTTGGAAACATTTGAATTTTCTCATCAGCTTTGAGCAGTGATTTTGTCCTTAAAAGTTATTACTCTGAAAATCCTCATTTGCAGTAGACCCATTGTGAATGAACCAGGAAGACAGCTCCAAGCCTCCCTTCATGGCATCTTGCTTGCTCCACTAATTCACCAGTATATTTAGTACATCTCAGGAGACCTTTTCCAATCCTCAGGTTGTCCCTAGTTGGGTGCCTGGATCTTGAAAATCTAGTAGCAATTGTCCCCAGTTGACATTCAAACTGAACATGGCCTTCACAGCTAGAAAGGTATCTCTCACACATTATTTTGTTCTTCCAAATTTCATTATACAAACACATTAATGAAGTACTATAAATGAAAATTTTTCTTAGCCACTTTGAATCTTTTGTTTTGTATAGTTAAGTTTTGTTTATTCACATAGATTTTAACATGGCTATCAAGTGCATGTCATGTAACGTAGACTTCATTTTATTTAAAACTATTGAGGATGTAGTTTGGTCATATACACACTCTCTTCTTCAACTCTTCTCAGGTCCACATCTCTCCTTACTCACTCAACTCTTATATATTTTTTCCTAAGCACTGAAGAGGTACATAAGCAGTGCATTAAAAACTATGCATGAGAGGTGGCCATTGGTGTAATATGCCATTAATCCCAGCAAAAGCAGGCAGATCTCTGTGAATTACAGGCTGGTCTGATCTACAGAGCAAGTTCAAGGACAGGCTCCAAAGATGAACAGAGAAGCCCAGTCTCAAAAAAAAAACAATAAATAGATAGACAAATGAATAAGTAACTAACTAACTATATAAATAAATAAATAAATAAATAAATAAAGCAGCTAAGCATAAAATTTGCTTGTAATTCCAGCACCAAAGCTGCAGAGGCAGATGAAAAAGTTCAAAGTCATCCTTCAATACATAGCTACATATCAAATTTGAGACTAACCTTGCAGTAAAAATAAAACCATTTGTCAAAAAAATGATGTACATATGGATTACCTAGTGACTTCATTCATTATAGCCTCAAATTAAAAATATTATTTCCATAGATTAATGAGTAGTTTGTGGTATACCAATACTATAAATTACTTAATGGACATATAAAGAATACTAAATTTCCATATTAATGATGTATACAGAAACATGTATATAATCTCAAAAATATTTTCATTGAAAGTAAAAAGTAACCAGAAACAAAATGACAAACTAAAATAAGAGTGCATTATTTATATTTCCATTTCTATTATTGCTTAAAGGCCGGTTAACTTATAATGATCTAAAATAAAAAGAAATGGGTTCCTGAAAATTTTGTTTATTCATTTCATTATGATGATGCATATTCAAGTCTCTATGATATATTTTACTGTGTCATCTTAAAACTACATTTTAAGAAAACATACAGACTTTTTTAGGAAGCCATCATGCTTCTGTAGAACTTGGTGCAATTTTGCAGAACTCATGCTCTTGTAGATATATGCTATTGTACAAACTTTCTTTCAATAGCTTTCTTTGGTCTGTGTTGAAGTTAGTGGGCTATTCTCTTGCAGTTTGCAGGGTTATTGTTGCTTTGCATTGTGTTCTTTATTCTCACATACATTTCTTCGAAATTCACAGGAATTTCTCTGAATTCCTACAGACTAAGTTCTTCTGTTTGCTTCCTTGAGTTGGAACCTTAAAAATCAACAGATTTCCATAACTTAACCTCATTATGATGTGCCTTCTAGAAGTCTGTATGGCTGTGACTTCTCCATCAAACATCTGCACAGATTTCTCTTTTGTCCTGACTTCTTATACTCTTGTTTTTCAGATAGTTAGAATTTTAAAGTATCTGTTATAGCTTTCTATGGTAGACAACTAATTCCAATGGTTTATTTGTATTTTCCTGTACAGACAGTCCCTGGAGTATTTTAAAATCAACATGAAACTACAACCATTCCAAAAGAAAAAGTTACTAAATAGGCAAGGTAAAGTAAGCATGCATAGATACCCCAACAAGTTATCAAAGAGATGCAAATTAAACAGTGAGATATACTAGTCTTTTGTCAGAAAACAAAACAAAACATTCCTTGTTGAAAAAGCTACAGGGAAGAATGTAAATTGCTTTCTGAAAAAGAATGCTGAACACCCCTGTATAAAAGCCTTTAAACCATCTATTTTCTTTGAGCCAAAGAGTTGACCTCCAGTAATGTATTTATAGGAGTCACACTATACACAAACACATGAGCACAGATATTATCACAATATTTGTTAAATTACAAGCTATCTACATTACAAATACTGTTAATAGCTAATA